CTCCAGGTTGAGCTGTTGTTCACTATCTTAGCTGTAGAGGGCGCAGCGTCACTGGCCCTCATGTGGGATCCGAACCAGGGCCCTGCTGCTCAGAGCTGGTGCTCCCAAGCCAACTCTTAACCAACACGCCACTCAGCTGGCCCTCAGTCAGCTTTGATGGAGATATTCAGCATGCTTTCAAATCTCCACCTAATGAGTTTATAGGAATGCTTCTTATTAGTAACTAATAATTTGATCATAAGATGTATAGATGCTATGTTCCATTCATCACCGTTTAAGAATTCAGCAGTCTTGTCTTTATTTTAAACTTTGAGCCTTCAATAAGTATTCATAAGAATTAATTCATGGATATCTTTTTGAAACTTAAATCTCTTCAGCCTTGGAACAAATTGTTGTTCCTGTCTAACCTATATTAGCAGAACAGGCCAACTTCTCTCCCCAATTATAAAAGTAATATACATGTTTTATAGAAAATGTAAGAGGCATGGAAAATTATAAACCAGAAAATTAAAGTTACCATTAATTTCAAAATCTGGAGATAACCAATGTTAACAGTTTGGATGAAATCTTCCAGTTTTGTTTCTAATCTTTAATTATTGGGTTGTTGGAAAAGTCATGACGTACTTTTTCTGTTTTTCATTGCAAAAACGCATCATGACTTTACCGACATTTACCAATATTTACCAAATATTTACCAATTTTTTAACAGAAATGAAATCCTACATACACATACAGTTTTGTGTCCTGCTGTTTTCCTATTGAATTATTATGAGTGTTTTATTTTGTTAAAAGGTCATCATTTTTCATGGTTAATTAGTGTTCTATCATAAACTTGCCATAATTAATTATTCACTGTGATTGAACGTTGACATTGTATTAATTTTTTGACATTAAAAGTGACAATAATTATATTTTAATAACAAGCTAAAAATAGCACATCTTTGTTTATAAAACATTATTTTCATTTCTGGTTATTTAGGGTGGGTTCCCAGAATTATTAGTTTCGAGGGCATAGGTAATTATTAAAGCAGAAAGTCATGAGTTGGGAGTTAATAGGTTGAATTATTTTATTTGACTTGAAGCATTGAATACATAATACAGATGATACTGTAAGGAAGGGGTTTAGGGTCAGAACAGTTTTGTGGCCTGTGTCAGACTTACCTTGAAGTGTTAAAAAATACAGATGTTCTGGTCCTTCCTAAGATCTATTGAATCAGAAGCTTGGGGAGTGGGCATCTGTAATTTTGAAAATAAGTTCAGGCTACTTAGGTGCACAAATGTGCTGAGACCCACTGTTCTAGCATCATAGAATGTTGATGGTGAAAGGGACCTTAGGTATCTATCTACAGGCATACCTCGGAGGTATTACGTGTTTGGTTCCAGACCACTGCCCTGAAACGAGTGTAGCCATAAAGTGAGTCTCGCCATAAAGCGAGTTGTAATCTTTTTGCTGATGGAGGGTCTTGCTTCAGTTTGTAAAAAAAATGCAACATCGCTGAAGCGCAATAAAGCTAAGCACAATAAAACAAGGTATGCCTGTAGTTCATTTCTGTACTTTTACACATAAGGAGACTGGTACTCCTTCGCTGGTACCATTTCTACACAGTGAATTTGCCTTCTTGTCTATAACTCACTCTGCGTCATCTAGACTAGGCGTCTCATTGTTTCATCCCTAACCCAGCTACTTCCCACTTCTGTATTTTTACTTATGCTATTTTTCTTCCCTAAAACATTTTCCTCTTTCCATGCTTTTAAAAACTGAACATAGTCCTACCTCCTCCATATAGCTTTCAGATTCTCTGTTGCCTACATTTGTCTCCTTTACAAAAACTTCACTGCTGTGACACATCTTATTTGTTAAACTCTTTTCTGTGTTTCAACTATTGTCTTTTGTTTCTCCACGTCCTTGTTTCAGGACTGGATACCCACTTGATGCTTTAACTCAGGATTTCTTAACCTGGCACTATTGACATTTTAGGCTGGATAATTTTTTGTTGTGGGGGCCTGTCCTGGGTATTGGAAGATGTTTAGCAGCATCCTTGTCCTCTACTCTCTAGATGCCAGTAGCACCCCTCTGCCCAGTTGTGACTACCAAAAATGTCTCCAGACATTGCCATATGTCTCCTGGGGGACAAAATCACCCCCAGTTGAGAACAACTCCTTTAACTTAGTTACATTGTGTGTACTCCAGGCTCAGGACTTGCTATGATTGATGAAATAGGAGAAAGGAGTCCTATGCATACTGAATGCAAACAAATGAACCTAAATTGCCTTCCAGAAATGACCAGATAGGTACAGATTTGTCATTTCCTTTGTGTTAACCAGAGATAACCCAGGCCTGGGACCTGCCAGTTCTAAGGCTTTGCAATCTATGATTTCACCTGAAGGTTTGGGCAAAAGCAAGTAAGTAATCAGTCATTTGTGGATTAGATTCAACTCGGGGAATAGGGGCTCCTTTCTCTCCAGACTGTCCTTTCTTCTCTACCTGAGTGCCCAGGGACTCTGTGGTTCAAGTGAAAAACTTTTGACATAAAAATGAACTCAGAACGTTACTCTGCAAAATTCAACTGAACATATTTTATGGCTTTATTGAGCTGGTTACTACATTTTGACCAAACGAATAATTGGAGTATTTTCCTGTTTAATAAAGTTGGTGTTTTCCTTTTCCAGTGAGCTGGTAGAATTCTCCTTTTTGATAATTCAGGGCATGTTTCATATTTCCTTATTTAACATCTCTAGTTTTACAAGTTTCTTTATATGAAATAGAGACACTGTCACTGACTCTGATGAAACTCCATAGAAAGCATCTGGGGTGGGGTGGTCACTTGCACTCTTGTAACCTCAGCTCCTACAGTTACATCTGACATATAGTAACTTAGGACTTTTGACTCCAAATCTAGGGCTCTTTCTACTTTATCACACTGTACTCCATGGAAAGATTTTTGTCATCCAGAACAATTGGGCTATTCTTGTGAAGAATTATGAGAAAAATTACAAGACTAAGTGATACACGATGACTTTCTTATATACAAAGTTTTAATAATATGTTGAACTTAAAATACATTATATTACCTCAGAAATGGCTCCAACATCCTTTGAAATTTGTCCTATTTAAAGAAACAATATACAGCCTATAACCAGTTTTGTGGTAGTAAAATATGATATAAATGAATGAATTTAATAGTTAATAAATTTAATGAATTTATTTTGATATAAATAAATGAATTTAATACTAAAACTTTCTGACATGGTAAATCTTGATGGCTATTAATGAATTCCTTACATTTTATTAAAAAAGACCTATGTGTAAAAATGCTTATGATACAATATTAAGTGGGAGAAAAAGGATACTAAATGACAATTATAAAATACACAACCATGTAAAAAATTAACTTGTTATCTGAGGGCAGAGGGTGGGGGAGGATGGAGAGGGTTAGAGGGGTCAAATATATGGTGACAGAAGAGACTAGACTTCAGGTGGTGAGCACATGGTAGAGTATACAGATGTTTATTATAAATTTGTACACCTGAAATTTAATGTTATTAACCAATGTTACCCCAATAAATTAAAAAACTTTATTAAAAAATTAATTTGTATAAAGTGAAAAACTTTGCATAAAAAAAGGATTAGCCAGACATAGACAAAATTGTTCACATGGTTGTCTTTTTGTGGAGGGAATATCAATTCCTTTTTTTCCTCCCAAGTTTATATATTTTCCCAGGTTTTTATGAGTTGTAATTCTTTAATCATAGAAAACAGTTTTTTAATCTTGAGTGACAAACTTAAATATTTTATACAAATGTACTTAATGAGAATAAATGTTGTTTTGCTATTTTCTTAACTTATAAATATGTTTCCATAGTTCTAGAACTTTAAGTTTTTATTTAAGAAGCTGCATAATATAAAATTTTTGGAAGTGTACGTAAGACACTGTTAACAGTTAATTACCTCTGGGAACAGGGACCTGCTCTCACATTGTATACATTTTTGTACTTTTACCATGTGAATTTATTATTCTAATAAATACTGTTACTTTTTTTTTTTTCAGTTACAATTGACATTCAGTATTATATTAGTTTCAGATGTACAGCATAATCGTTAGACATTTATATAACTTACAAAGTGATCCCCCTGACTAGTCTAGTACCCACTTGGCACCATACATAGTTATTACATTATTATTGACTATATTCCCTAAGCTGTACTTTATGTCCCCGTGACTGTTTTGTAACTGCCAATTTGTACTTCTTAATCCCTTCTCCTTTTTCACTCAGTCCCCAAACCCTCCTTCCTATCCGGCAACCATCAGTTTGTTCTCTGTATCTATTCGGTTTTTTTTGTATTTTGTTTATTCATTTATTTTGGTTTTTAGATTCCACGTGTAAGTGAAATCATATGGTATTTGTCTTTCTCTGACTTATTTTACTTAGCGTTAATACCCTCTAGGTCCACCTATATTGTTGCAAATGGTAAAATTTTATTCTTTTTTTATGGCTGAGTAATATTCTATTGTATATATGTATTATATCTTCTTTATCCAGTCCAGTATTGATGGACATTTAGGTTGCTTCAATATCTTGGCTATTGTAACTAATGCTGCAGTGAACAAAGGGATGCATATATCTTTTTGAATCAGTGTTTGGGTTTCTTCAGATAAATACCCAGAAGTGGAATTACTGGGTCATATGTAGTCTATTTTTAATTTTTTTAAGAACCTCCATACTGTTTTCCATAGCGGCTGCACCAATTTGCAATCCCACCAACAGTGCATGAGGGTTCCCTTTTCTCTACATCCTCACCAACACTTGTTCTTTGTTGATGAGAGCCACTCTGACAGGTGTGAAGTAATATTGCATTATGGTTTTAGTTTGCATTTCTCTGATGATTAGTGACATTCAGCATCTTTTCGTATGTTTGTTGGCAATCTAGCTGTATGTCTCTTTGGAGAAATGTCTATTCAGGTCCTCTGCCCATTTTTAAATTGGATTGTTTGCTTTTTGTTATATGAGTTCTTTATAAATTTTGGATATTAACCCCTTATCAGGTATATCATTGGCAAATATCTTCTCCCATTCAGTAGGTTGTCTTTTTGTTTCATTGATGGGGTTTTTTGCTGTGTAAAAACTTCTTTAATTTGATGTAGTCTCCTTTGTTTATTTTTTCGTTTCCCTTGGCCAAGAAGAGATATCCAAAAAAATATTGCTAAGAGCAATACTATTACATTTTTAATGATCATGGTATATGTTTCTAGTTATTGACTCGTACTTTAAAATAGTAAATTTAGTTTATTTAATAATTTTCCTGTTGATAGACACTTAAGCCAGTCCTGTTTTCATTGTTGTAGAAAATACTAAGAGATATATTCTGAGGTATTATAGGTTTCTTTTTTCCTTTGAATCATTAATTACACACACACACACACACACACACACATATATCAAGGTCATATAAGTTCATTCTCTGCCTTTTGCCACTTTGAATTTTGAATGGTTGAATCAATTTATAATGGTATCATAAGACTGTAAGTGTATTGGTTTCACTTATAGTGTCACCATTGTTGGGTGTTGGAAATGATTATAGTTTTTTAAATGCTATGACAAATGTGAATAATAGAGAGCTATCAACTATCTATAGAACTTTTTTTGTGTTTGTGGATTGCAATAATAGTTTTACTTTTTATGTGAATCCAGAAAAGCATGTAAAAATTTTCAAAATATTTCCCCCTATTTTTTATTTCTGAATAAATAGAATCAAGCTATAGAAGTAACCTGGGGTCACCAGCCTGCATTCTTGAGCTGGGTGGAAGGCAGGCATTTTAGCGATCAAGGTGAAAATGTGGCTGAAATTAACAGACAAATTGGTCAGAAACTTGGACTCTCAAATGGGGAACAGGTAAGCACAATGACTTTTTTCTAATATCGCATAATACAGCAATGAAAATAAAATTTAGAGTTCAAATTTTTTAAAGATTTTTATTGGGGAATTGGGGGATGGGGACAGCACTGGGGAATTGGGGGAAGGGGAACAGATAAGTTGCTGCCCTTTTGTTGTTCAGTCTAGTTGTGGAGTTCATTGCTTAACTGGCCCAAGTTGGCACCATCATTGTGCTCTTCCCGGGCGAGGCAGATCAGTCGCCAGCTTCTGGATGGCTGCTCACGGCGGCTGCTGGCTGCTCACGCTGGCTGCTGGCTACACCCTGTAGCCCATGGCAACCCACTGCAGCCGTGGCTGCAGGCTACCCATCGCTGGCGACTAACGGCAGCCCAGCTCCAGGTTGAGCTGTTGTTCAGCATCTTAGCTGTAGAGGGCAGTGTCACTGGCCCTCATATGTGGGATCCGAACCGGGGCCCTCTGGCGTCCCAAGCCAGCTCTTAATCAATGCGCCACTCAGCCAGCCCAGAATTCAAACTTTTTTTAAGGATGAGAGATGACAGCTAACTTGTATGTTACTATAATTAGTCCAAAATATTCAAGTTGATTATATACACTGTTAAGTCATTGTTTACCATATACTCTGATGTTAAGTCATTATCTTATAGTCTACCAAGCTCTCTAGTTGACTTTGTATTCTATTGGGTTGTCAGAAAAGTTGTGATGCATGTTTGCAACAGATAGCACTAGTTCATTTTTGGAAGTACTAGAGTCATTTGCATCTATGTTATTGCTATGTCATTTGACAGCTGACAGTTCTAGCTTCATTCTGAAAAGAAAATTGAGAGATTTGGTTGAGTATTGGAGATTTTACAAGTTGAAGATGGAAGACCAAACTGCATTTTCGCCATATTTTACTGTTTTACTTCCATAAAGGGAAGAACGCGCGTCAAGCTTGTGAAAAGTTGCATAAAGTTTACGGTGACAGTGCTCTACAAGAATGTCAATGCCAATGATGGTTCACAACATTCCGTGCTGGTGGTTTTGATCTCAATGACGGTCCTCGGTCAGGGAGGCCCACCGAGGTTGATGATGACAAAATAAAGGCATTGATCGAGTTAAACCCACTTACATGACATAAGATGTTGCAGAAACATTGAACATCCATCATTCAAACGTTCATGACCACCTGAAGAAGCTGGGATACGTAAGCAAGCTCAATATTTGGGTTCCGCATGAACTCAAAGAAGTTCATTTGACGGCATGTATAAACATCTGCAATATGCTCATTAAACGTGAGGAGAACGATCCGTTTTTGAAGCGACTGATAACTGCATGAGAATTGGATTGTTCACAACAATGTGGTGAGCAAACGGTCTTGGTCCCGACGTGATGATTCACTTCAAATGACATCGAAAGCAGACATTCATCAGAAGAAGGTTATGCTGTCAGTTGGTGGGATTTTAAAGGTGTTGTGTTTTTTGAGCTCCTACCAAGGAACCAAATAATCAATTTGAATGTGTATTGTCGGCAATTGGACAGTTTGAATGAATCCATCATCCAGAAACATCCAGAGCTTGTTAATTGTAAAGGAGTGGTGTTCCATCGCAACAACGTGAGACCACACACAAGTTTGATCACCCATTAAAATTATTGGATCTTGGATGGGATGTGTTGGCACACCCACCATACTCGCCTGACCTTATGCCATCAGACTTCCACTTGTTTCGCTCTCTTCAAAACTCCTTGCATGGTATAACATTCAATTCAGATGAGGCTGTAAATCAGCACCTTGTTCAGTTTTTCGCAAATAAAGACAGATCCTTCTGTGAACGAGGAATTATGAAGCTCACTGAAAGGTGGCAAAAGATTATTGAACAGAACAGGCAATATATCATTGATTGATCTTTGTTCTTTGTATAAATAAATGACCTTTGAAAAACATAGACAAAGTATGTCATGACTTTTCCAACAACCCAATATCTATTTTACTCACGTTCCATGTTCTGTAATTTTGCTTTTGTGCAATTATTTTTGCTTTATAAATTATTGCATTTTATTTTCTGTTGTCAAACTTTGTTTCATTTGTTTCTGACAAATTTTCTAACCTTCCAGGGGTATACTTAATATTTAATAAACTGTCCTACAAAAGAGGATTATTATTTTTTCATTTTTATCTTGTCTATGAATTTAATGTGTTTAGATTATAAACCCCAAAGCTTAAGGACTTATGTCCATTTTATCATTTTATTATATTCACTAATTTATTCTTTTAAAAATATTTAAACTACAGAAATAATACACTGAAAGTAAAAAACATTCTTCCATTTCTCTAACTCTAGCCTCAGAATGAGTGTATATTGTATGTTGGGATCTCACTATACCTTTAGGATTTAAAAAATGAGATCATATTTTCTGCAAATTTTTCCCACACACTATATCAGAGATACATTTCCACATATTACAAATAATATGCATTGAACATCTTTGTATATATATGGAATGAAATAGTAAAAATTGAATTGGGGGGCTGCACATTTAAAAATTTGATAGATGGGGCTAATTTGCTTCCTATTACCAGTCCCACAACAGTACAAAAGAGTGTCACATCTTTTTAACTTGTTTTCAGCACTGACTAATTTGGTTCATGCATGTTTTTGATAGAAGATGAGAGCACTGATGATTCATAGGCCTTGCGCTAGTCCTTTGCTTACCCTAAATTTTTGCTAGAATCTTAAAACTTGAGCAACAGAGTGACCTAAGAAATCACTAGCTATGGTGCTTTGCTCTACAAACCAAAGGAGGTGGAATATTTTGCCCAGGATTACGTAGCAAGTTATATAGTTCTGCTCTCTTTGAGGGTTTTTTGTTGTTGTTTTTTTGTTGTTTTTGACAATTCTAGTTCATGTCTAATGACAAAGAAGTTACATGAATAGAAATGGACATAAAACAAAGAGATCAATTTGGGGAATTATGGTGATAGGTAGAACAAGGGGAAAATCATATTAATCCTCAATTTATTCATATACTTGTTATTACTGATCCAAAACATCTCCTTAAATCCAAAACCAAGTAATAGACTCTTCCCTGTGGGAAACATCAGCTTTCTGTTCCTGATCAAGTCTCATCAGCACTCTGAGCAGTCCTGCTTGTTTTTAATTACCATTTGCTTCACAGTGAACTTTTACCTGACTTGCTGCAGATAATCTGTGTTGTAGCCACTAAGGCACTGTCTCCCAAATCAATAGGAACAGATAGGAACAGGAAGTGGCCTGGCTCTCCCAGGACTCTAGCTTCCTGGCTCTTCCAGGAGCTGCTGTGTGCTCCTCAGAAACACCCCTTTCAAATGGGAAATACGGGAGTACTGAAGGAAAATTAACTGAGGCATCTGGTGAGGTACTTGGGGAAATTTGGCTCCAATCCACAAAAGCAGAGAATGAAGGGCTGGTTACCTGGAGCATTTAGTACTTGGTGGCTTTGGACATCAGTCCTCCAGTCTCCAGAAATGCTAATAGAAAGGGAAAGTAGGATGGTAGATTCTAGCTTCTTAAAACGCAATAGTGTTTTATGTGTATCTGTAGAGCCCACGCTCTTAACCAACTGAGCCACTCGGCCGGCCCTTTATTTTAGTTTTTAAAAAACATGTGTTGTGCTAGGATGTATTTTCTTTTTTTATTCTAGAATTAATTGTGAAACAATTTTTTCTAAAATGCTGAGTATATCAAGGCCTTGCTAAAAATAAGTACTTAATAAATATTTGTCAAATGAAAGACTATACACAGACACACACATTTAATTACATACCTAAAGAGAGAACTTCTTATTTTCTAGAGATACAAAAATGTTTTTTAAAAGTAGTTTTACATTTTGAATTTTTTCCAGGTGTTTCTCAAGCCATGTTCCCATGTGGTGTCTTGTGAACAAGTTGAGGTGGAACCTCTCTCAGCAGATGATTGGGAGATACTGGTAAGGAAAACAAATGAGAACTATCCCAGTTGGACATTAAACTACTTCAAAATACCAGTGTCTTTAGATTTCTCTGTGCTTCATTATATATTCTGAGTTGGTTTGAATTATAAGAATGACTTGAGATCTTCTTACTAAACATGGAATGGACAAACTATAAAGTGATTTCATCTTTTTGTTGTTGTTTCTAGGAGCTGCATGCTGCTTCCCTTGAACAGCATCTTTTAGATCAAATTCGAATAGTTTTTCCAAAAGCCATTTTTCCTGTTTGGGTTGATCAACAAACTTACATATTTATCCAGATTGGTAGGTGCTATTGTAATATTTGCCATCATACTCTACGCCATAGCATTGAGTCTAACGCAGAGGTGAACGTGCACTAATGCACCTTCTTTTCTACACAGTTGCGCTAATACCAGCTGCTACTTATGGAAGGCTGGAAACTGACACAAAACTCCTTATTCAGCCAAAGACCCGCCAAGCCAAAGAGAATACAATTTCAAAAGCAGATGATGCACATGGAACATTTCATAATTATGAAAGATACCAAAAAGGATTGATAAAAGAACTCCAAACCAAGCAACTTCAGTCACACACTACAAGAGTCACTGGGTCTAATGAAACAGATTCAGAGGACACAACTGACCCACCATCAAGCTTATGGAGTATGATAGGAAGCATTTTTTCTTTTGGGTCTGAGAAGAAACAAGAGACATCATGGGGTATAACTGAAATCAATGCATTCAAAAAGATCCAGTCAGAAGTTGTTCCTGTAGACAATATTTTCAGAGTATGCAAATCTCAGCCTCCCAGTGTATATAACTCATCAGCAACTTCTGTGTTTCACAAACACTATGCCATTCATGTATTTCCATGGGACCAGGAATATTTTGATGTGGAGCCCAGCTTTACTGTGACCTATGGAAAGCTCGTTAAGCTACTTTCTCCAAAACAACAGCAGAGCAAAACAAAGCAGAATGTCATGTCACCTGAAAAAGAAAAGCAGATGTCAGAACCAGTTGATCAAAAACAAATTAGCCCAGACCGTAGTCAAGAAGCTGGTAAGGACTGTGTACTAAAGGTCGTCTGGAATGGACTTGAGGAATTGAAGAATGCCACAAAATACACCAGAAATGTAGAAGCTCTCCATCTTCGGAAAGTCTGGGTTAGTATAAATTTTATAATTAGGAAGGAAATAATGTTATGTTGTTTGAACTTTGCCAAATTATGATTTAGGATAATATATACAAATTGAAAACCAGTATAATAAGAAATAGTATCCAAAGTCTCTGAAGAAACAGATTTCTGATTGCAGGGTAAATTCCTTGTTTGGATAAAGATTGTGTATTTTCTGCCTAAGTAAACTTAGGATAATATTAGACAGGTACAGGCCTAGAGAGATCAAAATTACTTGTCTGTGGTTACATAGCTAGTAAGTAGACTAGGAGTAAAACTAAAAATCCTTACATCTTTAATACCTGCAGAAGATTTGTTTCCAAGTTCTTGAAAACAAAAGAAAGACTTGTTATGTATTGGGGAAAATGCCCAGTGTAGAGAGACACCCACGGCATGAGCTGACCTTCCTACTCCCTGTGATAGTACGCAGATTGGAATGTACCCAGAAGCTTACTTTGCTGGTATCAGGTCCTTAACCTGTGTAATGGGGAGAGGAAGTAAAGCACCTAGTGTTTTACCCTCTCATCCTGGCCTCAAATATAAATGCTCAGTATGTGAAATGAGTCACCAGTCCCATTTATTTGACCCTAATTTTGAACCATTGTGAAGTGAAACTTAATTCTAATGAAAAAGGAAGGAAATTGTTAAGACAGTGAAGAAAAATAGGAATGGAAGGGTTTTTCTTTGTAGATTTCTTTTACTTCCGCAGTTTTACCTGTGACCTTTATGCAGGTGACTTAGAAAGTTGTAATCTCTTTGGCCTATATCATTTTCTAAAGCTCCAGACCATTGCCTTATTATTTGCTATTAGTTCTAAACTCAGTTTAGTAGATCCTGCTGCATCTTCAAAACCAAACTGTCTAACGCTGAAATTGATATGACTTTTCTCCTTTTATTAATGGCTCTGCCATTAGGTATGAATATTCTTGTATGGTGAGGACAGGTTGAAGAAGCGATGATGGTAAAGTCTTGGGGACCACATAGGATAGCAGTGAGGAGTCTGCACTCCCACTCTAAAGGTTGGGAGCCATGGCCAGTGAGGAGTGGCAGTAGTTGCCATCAGGTACTCAGACAGGCTTGACTTGATAGATCAAAATAGATCACATTCTGAAGAGGACGTTGAAAGAAATGTAGGGGGAAAATTGAAAAGTTTGTGATGTAACGGCACCTAAATATCCTTCTATTTATACTATGAATCATGATAGCTTCTATACTTTCACTTGAATTCATAGAAGTTAATTTGAACATCTGTGCTCTGGAATATTTTGTAATCAAGCTTTGAGCATATTGATATTTCTGTTCATTTTTAAATTTCAGATTCCAGATGACCTGAGAAAGAGACTAAATATAGAAATGCATGCAGTAGTCAGAATAACTCCAGTGGAAATTACCCCTAAAATTCCAAGATCTCTAAAATTACAACCGAGAGAAAACTTAGTGAGTTCAAATTTACATGTTATATTACGATTGTTTTACATGTGTTGTAAAATTTCTAGTTGCTTTAGCTAAGTAATAAGAATGTTGTACTTCTTTTTGCTAGAATTGCTAAGAAGTTTTTTTCTTTATTGTAGTAAACTATATGTAACATAAAAATGCTGTTTTAACCATTTTTAGGTGTACAATTCAGTGGCATTACAGTCATAATGTTGTGCAATTATCAGCACTATCTATTTCCAAAACTTTTCCATCAACCCAGAAGAAACTCCATGTCCATTACACAGCAACTCCTTATCCTCACCTCCCCAGCTCCTGGTAACCTCTAACCTATATATTCTGTCTCTGTAAATTTGCTTATTCTAAATATTTCATGTAAGTGGAATCATACAATATTCTTTGTGTCTGGCTTGTTTTACTTAACATGTTTTCAAGGTTCATCCATGTTGTAGCATGTATCAGAACTTCATCACTTTTTATAGCTGAATAATATTCTATTGTATGGATATGCCAGTTTGTTTATCCATTTATCAGTTGGTGGACTTAGGTTGTTTATACCTCTTGGCTATTGTGAATTATGCTGCTGTGAATGTTAGTGTCTAAGTACGTATCTGTTTGAGGTCCTGCTTTCAATTCTTTTGGTATATATCTAAGTAGAATTGCTGGATCATATAGTAGTTCTGTGTTTAACTTTCTTAGAAGAGAAACAAAGAAGACTTTAATAAGCAATACACATATGATGTATACTGTGCCAATATAAATATGGATATTTTTGGCTTTTAAAAAAATTAATATTTTTGCCATATCTATGTAATAAAAAATATTTTTTTTCACATGTTATCTCAGTATTAATATTGCATCCTAAAAATGTGCTAGACTGTTTTACTTTTCTACTCTGTTAATCCTTTAGAATTGGTATGGTCAGGAAATGAGGTGTTGAAGTTAATTGTAAAATCTTTTTTTTTTAAAGATTTTATTGGGGAATTGGGGGAGGGGAACAGACAAGTTGCTGTCGTTTTGTTCTTCAGTCTAGTTGTGGAGGACGTTGCTTCACTGGCCCATGTTGGTATTATCATTGCACCCTTTCTGGGTGAGGCAGTCGCTTGCTGGCCATGGGACAGCCGCTCATGGTGGCTCACAATAGCTCACGAAAGCTCACGCCCGCTGCCGACCAGCCCCACTGCAGCCTGTGCCGTCGCCGGCGACTCACAGCAGCCCAGCTCCAAGTCGAGCTGTTGTTCACCATCTTAGCTGTAGAGGGCAGTGTCACTGGCCCTCATTTGGGATCCGAACCAGGGCCCTGCTGCTCAGAGCTGACATCTCAAGCCAGCTCTTAACCAACACGCCACTCGGCTGGCCCTGTAAAATCTTTTTAATAGAGTATTATCATCTGTACCAGTTTGGGTTGCCAGTTCTCAAAGGATTAAAATGCAGGAGAATTATTGTATTATATGTTCAAAGAATTCTTTCTCTGATAATTCAGATGGTACTTTCGGAACCTCAGGATCATGATGGTCATTAAGTAATGAAAGAACCAATTTAACAGAACGTTCTAGTTGATGAAACTCCAGATAAGATAGATTATATTATGTGAATGGAGAAGAGGAAAACAAATAGAATGCCATTTCCATAACATTATTGAACTGAGCATTTAATACTTTGGCTGAACAGTACACAGTGGTTTGTAGTTTTGTTTTAGCTTTTTGGTTACTGACCTTGGTATTTTTCAAAAGGTACATCCCTTATGTATGAAAATAATGAGCCACTAGTCATGAGATTTTTGGGGTTTTTTTCTCACTGATGGGATAATACTACAGAATTCCCTTCCTATCCTAAGTTGCATAGTTTAGTGAAAGCTTTATGACCTTGGCAGGTCTCTCTGGGCTGTGATTATATCACTTGGGACATAAAGATATTTGATTCTAGAGGAACTGTCAGTGTCTTTCTGAGTCTAAAAGTTTTTATTTTAAATAGTTCTCATTTTCAGTTTATGATTTTGTTTAGGTCTTTAATCCCATTGCCCAATAATGTCGAAAGAAGTAACTATTTCTGCTATTTTTTAAGAATGGGAAAGTGATGTCTTTTCTTAGTTTAGACTGCTTTTGGTAGTGATCAAGTTCTGAACTGAGTTTAATCAGCAGATAAAAGCTTAACTCTGAATGAAGAAAGATAATAGATACCAGTCGAGAAATGATAGAATACAGGTTTAATTTTCCTGGGCAGATGTTAACCATCTTTCCTATAAGAGTTTTTGTTTTTTCTGTTTTTAATTTCAAATAGGATTTAAAAACGTAATAATTTTAATTTTAAAAACTGTAAAAACTAGCAATGTTTTACTCAGAATTTCTTCATACCTTTTAAACAATGTATTAACACTTTACTTGTTGAGTATATCAGCACTGTGGCCAGCTTAACAGAAAAAAAGAAGAGAAAGTGACTTGAACATATAAAGCGTTTTTCTGATGTACAAAGAAGTTTGGAGGAGCTATAGGTGGTTAAACCATGTCATCAAGGATCTAGGCTCCCTTGGTCTTTCTCTTTAGCCATCCTTAGCCTATGATTTTCCTCCTGTTAGAAGCAAGACGTTTGCTGTACTAATAGCCATCTTATCTGCATTCATGCAGCAGAAGTAAAGGCACAAGGCAAAAGCCTTCTCCTCATAAGGTTTCTCTACCTTTTAATTAGGAAGAGAAGCCTTTCCCAAGGATTGCTGATTGCACACCACTGTCCAGAGGCCAGCCACATGTGCACGTGCGCACTCATGCGTGTGTACACACACACACACACACACACACACACACACACACACAGCTCTAAGCTAGGAATCCAAGCTAGGAGTTCACTTTCCCACCTCTGTAGTAGAGGGAGACAATTGACGTTGGAATGGTTATTCAGAGAGCCAAATTCAAATTTTGGCATTTGTTATCACTGGGCATAGTAAAAAAGAGCATTGAAAACTTTGCCACTTGTGTAAATGTTTCTTCAGGTAAAACTGTTCATTGTACTACTATAGTGTCAAATCTGAAATCTGTGCCTGTAGAATATGAACACCCTTCCTTGTTTTGTTTGGTAAAGTTTACATTTTATTAGCAAGATGATGAGGTGTTAAAATAAGCGTATTAAAGTTAAGGTTGGGCCGGCCGAATGGCTCAGTTGGTTAAGAGCTCGCTCAAGAGTTTGAGCTCTGAGCAACAGCGGTTCGAGGCCAGCCCGAGCTGAGCAGCCGCTAAGCTGCCAATAGGTAGCAGGATGGCTCAGCTAAGAAAAAATAAAATAAAATAAAATAAAATAATAAATAAATAAAAAATAGAACATCAGCTTTCAAAAAGCATCAGAAGCGCTTAAAAAAAAAAAAGTTAAGGTTAAGGTCAGATATCAGGATAATTTATTACTGTTCTTTCATTTTCTCTGGCAGCCTACAGATATATGTGAAGAAGACATAAAAACTGTGTTCTATTCATGGCTACAGCAATCTACTACAACCACATTTCCTTTGATAATATCAGAGAAAGAATATATTAAGCTGGGAATTAAAGATGGTAGGTACATTTTATTTATTTATTTTGATATTTTTCTTATTGAAGAAGTCATAATAATTTCCATTGTTTTTCCAACTTGTGACATGTGTGAACAAGAAACATGTAAACAGATTTTACATGCTTAAGAATGCCTTTATTTAAATTTAAATATATTTGATATTTAAAATCTTAAATTATTTCATCTCATCTTCAGTGTTAACTCTACATTTATTACTTTCTTTTCAATAGGGTTGAAGGAGTTTTCTCTGAATATAGTTCATTCTTGGGAAAAAGAAAAAGAAGAAAATATTTTTCTGTTGAGTACCAATCTGCTGCAGAAGATCACAATACAAGTAATTACATTCTATTGAATATTTAATGAAATAATATTTGTCACATGTGATTGATAATAATGTATGAATTTACTTGTAAGATCTTGCATCCTAAAGTGTATTAGAAACTCAAATGATAAGAGTAAGGAATAACTTGGTTTCAAATATTTTATTCTATAATATCTTAATTTACCAAAACTAATTATTGATTTATCCTAAATTTAAAATCAATGCCTCAGCACAACCAAGTTTCAGGAATAGAGTTGATTCTGTTAACTGGCAGATGGGGCATAACTTAAAATTCTTCCTGTATTGAAACAAAGGAAAACTTAACTTTAGTAGTTTGACTTTTAAAATTCATATTTATCTGCAGTTCTGTGTCACAGCCCATATTATTTTGGCAATTCCTAAGTTCTCAACTCTTCACAAATACTATTATATCACTTTTCTTCCAGAAGTATTTTAAAAGTAGACTTTTTAGATTGTTATGTTTTAGTTAGGATATTCACTCTTGTCATAAAATAGAAGATGCTCTAACTATTTAGAATTTCAGTGGTTTGAAAGTGGACATTGTTTCTCTACTTTGGAAATATCTACTTTGGCAAGACCGTTCAGAAAAGATACAAATGAAAGAATTGTGAAAAGAATAAATGTGGCACAAATGAAAATTGCAAATAAAAATAGATCTGTAAAATGCAATAAAGAGATGACATTCTTTATTGCTTGTTGACTAAAAATATTTGTGTTCCTTGGATGAATAAATTATTGTTGTCAAAACTATTTTAAGTAATGATCTTGCTTGCACAGTGTATCTTTTCTCTCTGATATAACAGAATCAGCAATTCAGTTTCCTGGGACCCAAGGAAAACAGTCAAAAATATAACTTTGAAATGTAAAACTGATTTTCCTTGCTACTATAGGTCCTTCTAGATCCTATGGTAAAAGAAGAAAACAGTGAGGAAATTGACTTTATTCTTCCTTTTTTAAAGCTGAACTGCTTGGGGTAAGACGTTATGGCCTAACTGGCATGTTTACAGACATGTTTGACATTATCTCTGGCAGGGCTTTATGTGTAAATATTAAAAAGATGTTAATGTCATTGAATAATCTTAACTAACGCATTGGTAGATATTTTTTCAAGGATTTTTTTTTCTGTTTTCACACCTAGCTTAGCAATTTGCCTTGTCTTAGATAACTAAAAGTCTGAAGCTTATTAGAAATTTTACTCTGAGATTTGATTTTTTTTTCAATTATGGTTGACATTCAATATTATATTAGTTTCAAGTGTACTCAGTAGTGATTAGACATTTGTATAACTTATAAAGTGATCCCCCCCATAAGCCTAGTACCCACCTGGCACCATACATAGTTATTACATTATTATTGACTATATTCCCTAAGCCGTACTTTATGTCCTTGTGACTATTTTGTAATTACCAATTTGTACTTCCTAACCCCTTCACATTTTTTACCCAGCTCCCCAGCTCCCCCTTCCATCTGACAACAGTCAGTTTGTTCTCTGTAGCTATAAGTCTGTTTCTGTTTTGTTTCTTCATTTATTTTTTTTTTTAGATTTCACTTCTTTTTTATGGCCCAATAATATCCCATTGTATATATGTACCACATCTTCTTTATCCATTCATCTTTTGATTGGAGCATTTAATCAACTTACATTTAAACTAATTGTTAATACGTATGCAGTTATTGCCATTTTATTAATTGTTTTCTGATTGTTTTTATAATTCTCTGTTCCTTTCTTATTCTCTTGCTCTCTTCTCTCATGTGTTGTTGTCTTTCTGTAGTGTTGTGTTTGAATTAGTTTCTCTTTATTTCTTGTATATCTCTTGCAGATTTTTGGTTTCTGGTTGCCATGTGCTTCATGTATACCAAGCTATGTTTATAACAGTCTATTTTAAGTTGATGGTTGCTTAAGTTTGAAC